AGGCCACAAGCAACGACTGGTGTCCCTGTCTCGCAGATTAGCGACGGACAGTGAGTCCACCAATATTTATATCCTCCACCTTGTCCTCCGAGCAGTTCTAACTATGTGTAGGCCGCAAGCAACGACTGGTGCCCCTGTTACGCAGATCAGCGATGGCCAGTAAGTTCAAGTTTTATCTCCCACATTTAGTCCTTCGAACAGTTTTTCTAACTATCTGTAGGCCGCAAGCAACAACTGGTGCTCCTGTGACGCAGATTAGCGATGGCCAGTAAGTCTACTAGTTTTTGTTTCCTATACCTTATCCTCCTAGCGGTTCTTCTGACCATTTCTAGGCCGCAAGCGAAAACTGGTGCTCCTGTCACGCAGATTAGCGATGGCCAGTAAGTATACCAATATTTGTCCCCTGCATCTGGCTTTCGGAGCAGATCTTCCTAACTATTTGCAGGCCGCAAGCGACGACTGGTGCTCCTGTTACACAGATCTCTGATGGCCAGTATGTTTCCCGTCACTTTACTTTTCGACGACATTTCTCGCTAACAAACCTAAGGCCGCAAGCTACTACCGGTGCACCAGTCACCCAGATTAGTGACGGACAACCGCAGGCAGCGACGGGGACCACTACTGCCGTGCCAGTTACTCAGATCAGTGATGGACAGCCCCAAGCAGCGACTTCTGGAGCGCCAGTGACCCAGATTAGTGACGGACAGCCTCAGGCAGCGACGGGGACCACTACTGCCGTGCCAGTCACTCAGATCAGCGACGGACAGCCCCAGGCAGCGACTTCTGGAGCGCCAGTGACTCAGATCAGTGATGGACAACCACAGGCAGCGACTTCTGTTGCTGCCGCCTCGACCTCGACCTCTGCCACCCCTGCGACTTTCACCGGCGCCGCATATCGACCTGAGTTCCCGGGTGGAATTGCTGTCGTTGCGGGTATTGCAGGGTAAGAGCTTCTGTCATCTATTTTAGCATCATGTTCCATTGAACTTCCTCAATACTAACAGATTGACAGCGCTGTCGCCCTTCTATGATTCAAAGACGAGACCCTGTCGATCCACTCTCTTCCCTCTCCGCATCTCGTGCATCTGATTGAGTCAACTGATTTCATGGACCTATCGTCGCCCACACTCTCTCTTACTCATCCAACGAAACATTCGCGAACTATGTATTTAATTATGCTACCTCCTGCATAGCATTGGATTTGCATATGGATGGAAAAGCAAGCATGAAGAAACAAATCCGTCTTGGGGGCTTGACACAGAAATGTGTCTGGCATCTAGGAGGAAATGTTTCGCGAAGCCCGCCGTTGGTTGGATATCTCATACAGCACGAGCTGGTGAAAATAATTAATAATAATAGTTTGTAGCCTGTCTATCTCGAGCTGCTCATAACATGGGAGATGTCTTCGCGATTCGTCTTTTTGCCTGTCCGTCGACGACCCATCTGTCTTGGGCGTCTGTTTGATATGCACCCTTGTACGTCGTCCTGATTTGGCACGTAGTTTTCGGGTTCATTGAGAGAGAAATCTCCCAACGCCGCCCCATCAAGCGCATTCTTTCATTCATTCACTCACTCACTTGTTCCTTCGTTCATTCACTCATTGATGGAGTCGGTCACTCCCTCCATATCCGCACAATCTCCAACTTTTCCCACCCGGCCGTCTTGCCGCTCGAGCCCACCGTCTCGGCGCGCCACCGGTCCTGTCCCTGTGCCTGTCCCTGCGCCTGTCCCTGCATCTCCGCCTCGTCGTCGGGCTGTTGCTCCTGCTGCTCCTGCTGCTCCTGCTGCTCCTGCTCCGGCGAACCCCAACTGCGGATCCACCGCTTGACCTCGTCGGGCCGATTGCCCCGGCAAAACAGCACGTAGGCGACTCCCCGGGGACTCAGGATTTCGGGGATCTGGTCCAGCAGGCGGCGGGTCACTTCCATGCCGTCGAAGCCGCCGGCGTAGGAGAGGGCGAGGAGGTGGGATTGTTGCTCAAATGTTGGGCGGGATGATGGTGGTGATGATTGAGGAGGAAGGGGAGCAGGAGAAGGATTAGAAACGGTGGTGGTAGTAGTGACGGGATTGGTGGATGGAGCCACAGGGACCGACTCCGTGGGGACGTAGGGCGGATTGAAGACCAAGATGTCAACTTCACCTCCCCTGAGGGGCGTGGCCAGGTCGCCCTGGAGGGAGGCGAGGTAGATGCTCTGCCCGTCTTGAGCCTCTATAGCAGCAGCGTCGCGCTTCTCGTCCGTCCCCTTGGTCTGTTTCTCTGATGTTGCCGCCATCCCCTCCTTCTGGCTCTCCAGCTGCCTCTGAGGTATTGCCGCCTTCGTCTCCCTGAGTGCCTTCTCCACCGTCATCCTCGCGGCCCGGCACGCGTACGGATTCACATCGACGCTCAAACTAAGCACATCCGTCCCGAAAATCGTGGACGCGTGCGCGGTCAGGAACGCGACCACGACGCCGGACCCGGGCCCGATTTCGACCACGAGGGGCGGCGCCGCATTGCCCTGACCCGTGATCTTGGTCTTGGTCTTGCCGTTGTTCGCCGACGTGAGTTCGGTGTTGATCCCGGAGCTACGTCGAGAGAACCTTGCGCGCAACCACGCCGACTCCGACTCCGAAGACAGCGTGTCGAGAAACAGGTACGAGTCCTCGGCCGGTTCGTAGATGAGGTCGTAACTGACGTGCGAGGTTGACGGGGTCGGGAGCATTGCTTTTTCTTACCCCAGCAGGGATTGTTCTCCCGCAGAGGTTGGTTGGTAGGTAGATCCCTTAGGTACCCAGGTAGGTAGGTGGCGTAAATAATTAGGATCTAGAAAATCCTCTCCGTCCTCTTTCACGCATACATGATATGATGCTGGCTTTCGGCAGCCGCGATTACTCCCCCTGGCTGGATGGCCTTGCTCTAGCTACCTTTCTTTATTACTCTCGCAACGATGCGACGACCTAGCGTGAGGGTACCTAGGTACAAACCGACTGTACTTGGTCCAGACGGACGCGTTGCTTTTCTTTTCTTTTTTTTTTCTCTTTCTTTCCTTTTCCGCGTTCGTATTTCTCAAGAGATGAATCCTCTCTTTTGGTCCATATGACGCTTTTTATCGGATCTGGGTAATCTCATGGATAACAATAAAATTAGAGGCTTTGGTCATCCGCTTCAGTATGTTACTTGCAAAGGCAGAGTAGTGCTCCCCAGGTTGTTATTTTCCCAACAGGGCTGTCGCGGAGATGGTAAACAAATTCAAAATTTCACTTTGCGGGCGGCATATCCTCGGATCTTGATTCACCCCCTTTTGCGGTACTTGATGTTTGACAGATCTTAGTAGGAATAATATGAATGAATCAGAAGCCACGTTTGTTCTTCTACAGCTTCTCTCATGGTATCGTGCGCAGCTCTAGTGGTTCCATGGCTTGCTTTCGCTTCAAGGTCTTCTTGAGCATATCCACTATGCGGTACACACAAACAATAGCCGTCCATCTATCGGATCATCGGCGGATGCCACAACGACAACCCCAGGGATTACATTCTCGTGTCCTGTTTGGAGGCCAGTCTTCATCATCGTCGCCCATGGAGTCCTACTTGCATACCCGTTCGTCTTCGTCAAATTCATAATCATTGGTCATCCCCCGCTCGCCACCTTGTAAACACCCGATGTGCCAACTTCCAAAGCCTCCTCCTTCACCATGGACGCCAGAAACTCCTTCAATTCCTCGTTACTAAAGGGAAACCCGCCCGGGACCACAATGGACAACATCATCGAAATCCTGGCCAGCGGCATGGCGCCCTGGTTCGTGAGCATCGAGACAATGAATCGATGATACATGGCCATCTTCTGCTTGCGTTCCGCTTCTTCGGCTTCCCTCGTCGCGGCGGCGAAAGCGGCTGCTTCGGCAGCTGCCAAACGACTGTTTGATTGTTGGTTGGCGGACGCACCACCTTCGCTCATCAGCGTGTCATTGTCGTCGTTGGTTCCACTGGGGAGTCGTTCCAGAACAGAGAAAGTGTTCGGCGAGGTTTCGGCGAGAATGCGTTTTGATACCCAGAATATGCAAGCCGAGCGAATGAGGGTCGGCGACATTGCAAGCTCAGAGGCAAGTTCCGTAACTGTCTTTTGGACAGGCTGCCCTGCTGTTCCTGCAGTGTCATCTTGAAACGCGTAAATGACGGTCGCTTGCCATGGCAGAACTTCGTCGTGGTAGGTCCGGTCCTCCAACTCCAATTCGACCTCCACTTGACCGATGGTATTGACCCAGGTCAACTTTCGCGACTGCTTGAGCGCTCCAAAGCCCTGTTCGTAATTTCTTTGCTGCTCCGTCACCACTGCTGGGACGTTAAATGATTGCTCCGGCATGGCCGGCCAGAACAGGCGGGAGAGGATCTTTGCGTGAATCTGGACACTGTCATCATTGTGCTTAAGGGTACGTCCTTTCTTGGCTTGTTGCACTTCCAAATCCCTCCTAATGACTTTGTCCACTTTCTTCGAGTCCAGAACGTCCCGTAGCATTACTTCACACCCTTGCAATCCGGCGTCCCCGAAACGTAATTTCAAGTGCTCCAGCACACCGATCTCCTGGTTAAAGTCGGCTTTATTCTTGAGAAGCCTTTCCGCCATGGCGGATTGAAGTTCCTTGACAAAGACGTCCTTCGTTTCGAACAGTGTGACGAGACTACCAATCACGTCTGTGGTCTTGTTGGATTTGGTGTAGTCTGGGGCGGCATCGATGGGGTCGGGAACCCAGTCCATATTGTTCCAGTCGAATTCACTGTCATCTGTAGTGTTGTCTCGGCTGGTGGGGCTGGTCAGTTCATGAGCGAGTTCTGTAAGGACGTCTGGATCGGATGGTGGGGGCTGCCCATCTTCGTCTGGCGAAATGTCTGCCAACAGTCCGCTCACAATCACTTTGACGGTGTCGTCTCGCTCTCGGAGGTAGCGACGGACTCTCCTGATGACACGGTCCAGGAGGACTCCTCGCGGGTCGAGGATCCGAAACGAGCGGATTATGGAAATGTAAAATTGTAGGATCTCGATGGTTGATGCGCCCGGGTGGAGAAGACGTGCTTGCAGGACGCTTACAAAATTGTGCGTCAAGTACCCTCTCGTCGTAGGGTTTGTCGTGAAATGGCGCAAGTCTTCGATTGCTGGTGCGGTGGCGTCCCAGTCCACTATAATTTCAAAGAGCTCGTCGACCCGCAAAGCGCCGAGACGGGCAGTGGCCATGTCCTTCCACTTCCTCACCTCGGTCTCCGGGAGGGTCTGTGATTCCAACTTTTCGTCGAGACAACAGAGCACCTTGCGTGCAATCCTGGAAAACAAATGTTCTACCCAAAACTCAAGGTGCAGGTGCAGGCCTTGGCGGTAGATTCCGGCGTAGGACCAGGTCACAAACTCAGTCATCAAATCATTGAGTACCGACGCCAGGAGCTTGATCACTGTCTCAGAGCCGACCGCCGCGCGCCACCGGGCCAGCATACCCCAGATTGGAGACTCTGCCTCCCTAGTGATCTGCGTGGCATGGTCGGCTGCTGTTGGCTGCCTGAGTTGATTGAGTGGCGGACAGGACTCGAGGTGACTGTGAAAGGGAGAGCCAGTATCAGACACCACTTGCTCCTGTCCATAGAAGAAAGACTCGTCACCGATTCCCAGAAGGACTCTCAGGTGCTGATGTAAGGTGGTCTGTATCTCCGGGATGGTTGCAAGGGTTTTGGGGGCGAAACGGCGACGGCGCTTGGGAGGCTTGACGACCAAAGGCGAGAAGACTGATGCGAAGACTCCGTCTACCAAGGGAGCAGCCTGAGACGTGGGCATTACAGATGTGGCCATTGTGCTTCCATGGCAGAAGCACCAGACGTATCTGTTCAATGGATCTTTGGCCTCGTGATGGCGATTTCAATTGTTTGCCTAGGAAAAATGTACCGGTGCTACCTAGGTACCTAGGTATGTAGCGAGCGTAGGTTCATACAGAGAGACACGAACGCGCTTGACCGTCACGACCGTGACTTCCACGATGCTACCAATGCCAAGCCTGTGATTATGTAAGGCTTGGCAATAGTCTAGCCTAAAACGGAAAATTGTTTATCTCGCCGAACCACGACGCGTGTTCCAATAGTAACGAGACCTTGGGCCTTCAATATTGCTCGCACAGAACCATCTGTCCTGTTAGATGAATCCAGTGGCAGTCACCTCCAGCAGAACCCTTTGACCACTCTGTTGGTTGTGTGTGTGAGCGCAGCGTCAGACCGCGGGTTAGTCGCACTAGCACGAGGTGGATGAACGGGATAGTTTGGTGTTGTGCTCTTCCTATACGAGCATATAGATTGGAAGATGATTGCAAGTCTCTCTGGGTTGATCTCTGTGAGCTGCCAAGGTAGGCGAGTGATGTCGAGTGGTTGGTCTTGGACTATCCGTTGCCCTTGTCGAATCTGTGCATGGTTGAGATGATGATTTCCCCATATGCCCCTGTCGCCACCTGGTTTCTTCCCGTTGGAGTCGCAAATCTGCATATAAAGGTAAACGCTCTGACACTCTGCTAGATCAACCCTGGCCCTGTCGTTCTGTTCCTCTGAGGTGACCGAGTTTCGACGCCAATTTCAACGAGAGACCATCGTTCCAGAAGAAACTCTCGGATATCCTGACGTTTGCCTGCCAGTCTCGCAGGGTCGGTCGCGCTCGCAGGATCGATAGACCTAAGAACCAAGGCTGTGATCCTGGGTCGAACGTGGCAAGAAGCATGGTCGAGACCCAGGTTATGAATGCCTCGTTTCTCTCGTTCACCTCAATATACAGCGTTCTCATATACTTGCAACGAATCTGGAGGTATGCATTTGTTAGGTAAAACATGGAGCGTGTTGAATCGGTGGAATAGCAGAAGGCAGTCAAAGCAAGGATGAGGAGTTGCTCGACAATTGTCAACCCTCGCTTGTGCAGAAACTCGCCACACAGAGTGACATTGCGCGAACTCTGTGATAAGTCATGCAGGCTGTATACATCTGAGTCTCTGAGCGAGGTGTTCACTTCGTGTAACCAGTTGTTGACGTAGTCAATCATGTTGATGATCTGATGACTCAGCATGCCCGACAAGGCTATGTCAGTCAGTCCAGGTGGGAACCGGGCAATAACATCGCACAACTCGGGATCGAAGGGATGTTCTGGGTAGGTGAAGTTTCCATCCTCAGGAAAGAAGCGCGGGTCGGTCAGATTGACCGAGTGTCGAGCTGCATAAAAGTTCTGCCACCTGGAGGCAGGGCCGGTCAGAGATTAGTCATGCGTTTTAGATCCAACGTCCTGTCAGAACCAAAATAGAACTTACGCAGTCGCCATTGTCTTCAGAAATCCCTCGAAGCCTGTTTCTTGTCAGAATTATGCGTACGGGTGATCGAGTGATGGGCCAGGAGAAGTACCTAATTGGCTGGTGCCGCCTCGAAGAGCGACGACCTGCTTGATGCCCTGTGTATGCATGTCAACCGCATCATAGTTTCCCGAAAAGGCCTGTAGCCCAGATCAGTGGGCTGGTTACACATGTGGGTTACACTGAAGACCGTATGCTCACCTCAAACGCGCACAAGTTGGCTAGAGTTATGATGATGGCATCACTCGCCTGCTGCGATTCATTGGTCAACCTCTCCCGTACCAACGAGACGGCCGTCTGATAGAACCTCAGAGATTCGGATGGAGCCTCGCGACTGCCTGTGGCGGCAATGTTGGCGCCGAAGGAGGCTGAGGCCACAAGCGCCGAGAATGTCATCCGGTCATTCATGATGAAGGGAATGTAATCGCGCAAGAGGGTCAGATCCGGGCCTACTCCCACAAAATGAGGACGCTGGACCGTCGTCGGGGAGTACTGCTTCACATCTGGAAAGAAAACGAACATTAGCCGCGCTCATCTGGTGGGGAGACCGTCCGTACAATACTGAATCGCACGCTGGACGAAGCCGTTTTGAGGCATGGGGAAGGGCGAATGCGACAAGTCGTGCGCCCCCGGATTGCCCAGGCGGACCACTTCATGTTCAGATCGCAGGGAGCTGCTACGACGATGGAGGGGTATCTGCTGCTGTTGATGTTCTGCAGGCTGTCCGTGAAGGGATTGCCGTCGACGGTGTGACTCTTCTTCCTCATCTTCTCGTCGTTGGTGCGCGGGGAACAATGGGTTTGCCCTCGGAGCTTGCCTCCTGCCATGGTCGCTGGGACGATCCATCTTCTTCTGGACCAGGGCATCTTTGTCCACGGTGCTCTCCAGCTCAAATTCAAATGGATATGTGTCACAATATATGGGCATCTTGAGGACTAAAGCGTGCGGAAGGCCCGCGAGGCCCGCGCTGACAGTCCGCTAATCTGAGCAACTCCTCCGCAGCCGAGTGTCTTGGGGCCTTGGACGTTGTTGCGTCAGGGCATCTTGCCTATCACCTGTATATGCACAAGAAAAAGGATAAGTCGACCGCACGATCGGTCACCACGTCCCAAAAGAGAACCACTACAGCAACGATTGTGGCCGATGAATCGTGATGGTATCCAGACACCACCAGGTCAGCTCCGGAATAAGATAATCCGTCCGGAAAAATATGCAGGGTCGAAAGTGTCCTGCGCAGGCTCTGCAGGCTGTGCAGGCTCTGCAGATGCGCGCAGCCAGTGGCAGCCAGTGGCAGCCACCTTGGAGCTCGCCTTAGTGCGTCTCCAAAACCCATTGCCAGCCGTAACGACCAACGGCCCAAGGAGAGTTTTTGAGTAAGCGAGCCGTCGTCGAATGGGCACCCAATGGGCCCCATGCTGCAAGGGGCAGGCGACCAGTTGAATGCTCTGCTCACGGGAGCATCACCCAGGCGACGCCGCAGAATGCCAACCCATCTACTGGTAGAACCGACCAAAGTCAAAGGGGCGTCGAAGAAGCAAGCCAACACCAGGCTGGCAGGCGCGAACCCCGAAGTCGGTTTATTCATCCATCCAGCGCCGTTGTCCAGAGCCCAATGAGACGGCGACGGCCCTTTGTGCGTTTTCGGTAGGAATAGGCGACATGGCCCACGATGGCCCACGATGGCCCTACGAAGACCCCGGGCGCGATATCCTCGATCACGGATTAACCTCAAAGGCACATGATCTCCGTGCGCGTTGTCATTGATGCGCAGTGGTGATCCCCGAAATGCATGGGATGCATGAGATGCATGGGAAACCCCCTTGGGTCAATGGGTGTGGGATGCCCACACTCAGTATAGCGGGCGCGGACAGCAATTACTCGGTGCGGACAATGCCCCCTGCCAACTGCCTGCCAACTGGTCGTCGGTGGCGCCCGCCCTCTGGTCCCCCCCGGGCGGCGTTCTTCATTTGGCGTCCCAGGCCATGGAAGACACCCAATCAATCTGCTGTCGACCTTGCTCCTACTCTGACGGTCTTTGTCATCACGCATCAGTGCATCACAAGCTACCAGAACCAGAAAGCTTGTGACATCGCCTTCGAGTCGCGAGTCGTGGACATTGCCTTCGAATCGCCGCGTGAGGCTCCCCAGGCACCCCAGGCGACAATCAGCTTGCTCACTCATCTGAGAGCCTGCCCCGATCTCCTGCGGCTCGATGATACACGTCCGCCACGGCGACAGACATGACGCCAATAAATTCTCTAAAGCCGCGTTCGACTCTCCGGCCTCGAATTGTCCTGCTATATACTTAATGGGCCTGCGGGCACAAAATCTATCCAACTGGCAGAGACGGAGTACTCCTCTTCACCGCGAAGGGTAGTCTCATGGCGGGGCAAACATGGAGATCGACTATGCACTCTACTTCGAGCCCAATCGTGATGCGTGCAAGATCATCATCATGTTGACATGCAGGACACCTTTGATGAGTGGCCACAGGACGGAAAAGCGAATCCGCATGCCGTGGCTTCGTCTTTAGCACGTTCGGAAAGGCGCGGCCGGGGGAAGGTGTCCTTACTGGTGTCACATTTCATCCTGCCGTTGGCATGGAACTTCGTTCTCCCATACAGTGCTCAGTCCAATGGTGATTCTTTACTGCTGAAGAAGATCATCCGTCATGCCGGAGTTCAAGATAGTTTGGGCTTACTGATGCCGACATTTTGGTCCAAGACCACCATTCTCCCGAAAAGGTTTCCAACCACAAGATGCAGGAAACTCTGTCCTGTTAAAGCTATCCGAACTCTCTCTGAGCCATTCACGGGCACCTTGTCAATCCCCTAGTTCCGCCACATCTCGATCACTCTGTCTCGCGCGCACCCATGCTTACATCTAAAATTCAAAGCCTTGGCTTTGTTGATCAGGGCTAGCTTTCTCGACTGCCTGTAAGTGCTATTAGTAGAGCATGTAGCCTCTAAAAAGCAAAACAGGGATCACCCTTCTCGGCCACCAAGGCCACCCAGTGCTATGCTGGTTAGACTATCAGTGCAGAAATGATACGCAGGGCCCGCTCTCGCAGCAAATAACTATTGTGGAATCTCAGACGAGGTTTTGGGGGGGATTTGTGTACCAGGTGTGAACATTGCTCAAAGAATCGACATCTAGATTGATATGGAAACCTTTTGTCTGCGAAGGGCGTTCAGCGAAGGTCTAGCTAAGCCAAGACTCCATGTTGGGGAAGGGGGGCTAGTCGCATGAGCCAGGTATGTGCAAGCTCCTTCGTCTATACATTCTTCCAAAAGTTTTACCAAACTTCCCCAGAGACATGTCCTCTACACCCCCGTGCAAACACATTTGCATGACGGAGACAAAACTTAATCTGCATCCAGCCTTGCGACCGGCCTCGTGTCATCCACCTGGATGCCGCCTCTCTTCCTCTCATCCGCGTCGTGGAAGGGCAGTCTCCAGCCTCCCTCGCTGACGGGGGTGCTCAACCACAGACGCATCAAGTGGCGGCGGGGCATGCCGCTGTCTGGGGAATAGTCCCTGTAGGCGGTCCGGGCGTGCAGAATGTGGGCGTTGGAGAGGAACTGGATGTCGCCGACCTCGAGGATCATGTGCAGCTTGACGCGGTTGCAGACGTCCTCGAGGGTTTCGAGCGCGTGCAGCTGCGCCGGGGACAGCGGCGGGATGATGCCTTTGTCTGAGAAGCGGGTCAGGCTGCGCACGTAGTACGGGTCCCACTTGCAGTAGACCCTCTGCTCCTCGCCCTCGGCGGGCGTCTCCAGGTAGAAGACGCTGGTGCGGATGTAAGGCTCCTCCCCTTGCGACTCCTCGCCCTTGCGGTCAAAGTACCACACGGGTTGCGTGAACAGCTCGGCCACGTCCGGGTGCTCGGCCTGCAGGATGTTCCAGACGTGGTGGACGCATGCGACGTCCGACTCGCCGCCCTCCTCGGCGCGGGCGATGCACAACAAGCCCACGACGTCCGAGTCGTCGGCGTGGAAAAACTGCCGCGCGTTGGTCCGGTAGATGCGCACCTTGTCGATCTGCGTGCTGTCCTCGCCCAGGTCCTTGACGTGGCCCAAAATGTGGCCTCGTCCGTTTTGTGAGACGGGATACCCGATATACGTCCCCAACCCCATATACGCCACCGCGGCCTTGTGCGAGCCCCATTTCTCCACGGGGAACCCTTTGTACAGGATGAAGCCCTTGCCGTTGAGGAGTTCGTTGCGCATCGATTTGAGGGAAGCGGACATGCTGGGCAGCGGGAAATTGCCCGGGTTGATTCCCGTCAGTGGCAGACCTTGAGACATGAAATTGTCCGCCGCGGTAGACAATTCATTGATCTCGGCGTCTGAGAAGACGTGCGTCCACGTCTCCGGGTGCGAGGCATAGTCCTCGTTCGACCACACAGTAGGACCCGAGATGGATTTGGGAAACGCAGAGTATGGGTACAGCTTGTCGTAGAGCGGCGGGTGTTGGCCCGATGTCTTGAACCCGTCGGGGAAGATGGACAAGTCGACCGTCGTGGATTTCGAGGGCACCGTAGGTAGAGGGTGAGACGATTCAACTGCTGCGGGAGCCATTTTTGGAGTGCAGTGGTGGGCTGGTGTTCGGTTTGCAGTCAAAATTCCTTAAAGATTGGGATTGTTACGGGACCGCCCTCAAGAAACGAGCTCTCCAGATAGCTAGTGAATCTCAATGGTTTGAGGCCAAATTGAAACAAATTTTGAACGGTTCGGAATATGTGAGAGGGGAAAATGAAATATCTTACCCCGTGATGTGATCGAGCCCTTTCCCCATTGACCTCATGCGATCCCAAGTATAGCGAAATCCCTACGCCATGGATGCGGACAGGGCATCTCCGAATGAACCTTGCGTGCCTGGTCAGAGGTCAATGGGCGCGCGCACGCGAGGGGTTCAATGCTGATCACAATCGAGAGGGGCGATTGCGTGATTGCGCGCTCACTCCCCCCCAGCAAACGAAGAGGCGGTTGGTGATGTCCGACGCCCAGGTCATCTTGAGGCGGAAACCGTTCCGTGGATAGATATAATTGGGAGTGGGGAGCGGGAAAAAATAGATGATCTTCAAGGGATAATGAAGGAGAGGCTCAGAAAACGATAGGTATGCTGATAGACGGTGTCGATGGTCTATTCTAGCTTGTATATACAGTCTCTCCACTTACTCACTCTCTATGCTCGCAGCACAGGTACATAAAAGCTGTGTGAACCATGAGCACCGCTTTTCTTCAATCACGAACGCTGGCTCACATCACATCACATCACATCACAATACAACATCCAGCCTGCTGCTGCTGCCCCCACTGTCCGTTGGTATACGACACTGCTGGCCTCACATATCCTCCAGCTGCGTAGTAGTGGTGATACACCGGAACCGCCCTTCCCCGTCCATCAGTCATATTATACCCATTCCCCAAATTTCCCCTTTCCTCGGGTTTCCTGAGAATGATCCTTGTCTTGTCCGCATCGTAGTCGCCCTTCAGATCGCAGTTGGGACAGCTGTCGGCCGGCGCGGAGAGGTATGCCGGTTGGACCAGTCTCTTCCAGGCACTCCGTGCGGGTTCGTATTGGTGACTCCGCTGGTTCTTGAAGGATGCTTCGGGACCGCAGGGTTTCACGATGCTCATCCAGTGGTGGGGGCAGGTGTGCGATTTGAATGATTCGGTTTTGCACATCCTTGTGTGGTTGGTTGTTTTGGTGCTTTTTTGCAAGCAGGCAGGGCCAGGTGCGAATATGTTGGCGGGATCGTATTTGTGGTTTTCTTTCTTTGAGAGTTTCGAGCGCAGGATTCTCTAGCTTGTCAAATCTGGACGAGCTCCTAAAGGGAGGACGCAAGTAGAAAAGAATATTGGTGCGGCGTCAACTTCTGTAATGATGCTGTTTGCCTGTTGCGTTGGGGGTCAAGTGAGTGGTGACAAGGCGATGTACCTGCGATCAGAGACGGTCGCTCGCAATGGCTCCTCCCCTCGTTTGGGACGATCTGAGTGATATTCTCTGAGTGATACCCAACGTGCAATGTCACCAAGTCTTTTATCCTTCAACTGAGCCTTGCCGCACCTGTATTTATACAACTGCCAGACTCATCATGACCCTTTATTTGTCCCCGAGGCTTTGGCCTCCTCGATGGCATTCAGAATGTCTCCCTCCTCTTCCTCGTCGACGCTGTCCCTTCCTCTCCTTTGAATCGCCAACATAAGCTCATACATCTGCCCGACTTGTTGGTCACTCATCTTGTCCACCAATGCCTGGTTGATTCTCTGATCCTTCCAATCGTCCCCTTCGAGTTGCTGGCCATACTGTTGCCACTCCGTCAGAAACCCGACAATGTGTAATGGGTTTTCAATGTCCTTGTGTCTCCGGAACTCTGCTTTCAGGTACGTGTCGCCAAAGACGCGTTCTTCAGGGCCGAGACGCTTGCGGTGAATGCGCAGGAGGCGACGATATAGAGGGATAGGAGGGAGCAAAGCCAGAGCTTGCGCTCGCTGGCCTGGCCGAAAAGCGGGAGTAACAGGAGCAGCAAGTAAGCGGAGACTTGGTCGCATGGTAAAACGAGGCACTGTGCAGTCTGGCGTTCCTTTCCCATACGAAGCTCGAGAGCTACTCGACCAACAAAAGACGTCGTCATAAGTTTGCGAAGGCGGAAAAAGCAATTGTGAAGCACCACGCACTCCCCTCATCCGACAATTAGCCGGCTATGCAGCGAAGCAAAATACGCGAGGCTGGACCCCTGGTTGAAAATAACTTGTACATACATGGTATGCTGTTCTAATTACAATCTCTTCAAGTTCTTCTCAAGGCTTGAAATCTCGGTGGCTTCCCGGACTGATCTAGTTATCGATACATAGGGAATAGCCATGGCGACACCGTTTTGTCCCATCCGTCCCACAAAGCAACAATCCGTTCCTCCCTTTCAAAGCATATGGATAAAACTCATGGCCTCTAGCCTGAACAGTAAAAGTCTTTCGAAACCGGAAAATGATTGGACAAGGAAGCTCACGGGGGTATCTGCGGTCGACCGTCTCTCGTAAAATGCAGTCCTGAGTACTGTACAAGTAGTTGCGAAAAAGGTCGTAAGCTCGTAATCATACATGAACATGGGTCAAGAAGAAGAGGGCTGCTCGTCTCGCCTAGTCACTGCAGTCCATGTCCGAAAAGTCCTCGTCATCCGCGAATGGTCCGTATTCCTCCCGTAAGGTTTCTTCGTCGGTGAAATCGTCGTCGAGTAATGGATGGTATTCCTCCTCCTCGGGGATACCAAATTCGTCCGTGACGTAGAGTCCGAGAGCGTCGGCCAAGGTGAAATGATGGTGCTCTTCGACGTAGGCCTCAGTATCAAGAAGATGCATTGGGAACATCTGGTCCGGATCCTCGAGAATACCACTCGCCATGAAGTTGATCAAGTCCAGATGCTTCCGCATCCGCTTCGTGGCATTTGGCCAGCGACCTTGCTCGAGAGTCATGAAGCCCAGCCGCAAATCATACAGAGATGGTTGGCGTTTCAGCATGCTCAAGAAATAGTCCTCAGTGGTCGACATGCAGTCTAGATTCAGCATGCTGAGGCGTGGCCACGCGTTTGAACCCAGAATGTTTTCCAAGCTCGTGACCGCCCCATAGTAGCCATAGTCGTCGAAGTTGATCGTCAACTGTTCCAAGTCTCGCGCTACGGCGAGCGCATCTCGGAGACATCCCTTGGCCAGGTCTGCATAGCAACGGTCCGCAGTCATAATGTCCAAGCCGATTCTATCATCTTTCTCCAAACGGAAGTTCAGATCAATGACTTTGAGGTTCTGGAAGGCGCGACAAATCAAGTCAGCCGGAACGAAGCCGGTGAAGAATTTTGGGCTCATGACATGGACTTCCAACATGCTGATCTGGGTAAGTGGTCGACCTTGTGGAAAGAGCAGATGTTTCAGCTGGTCTTTGGTGAAACTGGTATCTTGTTCGATCGGCATAGCACAGTCGGCGGTAAATGACTCGAGGAATCTTCCGGAAAGAACATGCTTGCAGCGGCCAACAGTAGAAAGGACAAGCTTGTTCAGTCTTGGGAAAGAGGGCATGCTCGCCGAAATAAAGTCGGCATAAGCAGCGGACTTGAGGACTTTCTGTTGTTTGTCATAGAGATCCAGATAGCGGTCGTACTTTTTCTCAATTTCACGGTTGAACTTGGCTATGTTTCGCTCGTAGAGTCTCTGCTCGCGAGGAGTTGCATGTTTGGGAGGTGGTTGCGGTCTCTCGCCCTGGTGGTGGTCGAGCTCGTAGTGGGCTTGGTAGGTATGAATACAGGGGACGCTGGCTAGAAGATTGCCTTCGAAGACGATGGTGTCGACATATTTGGAGAAGACATCATGCTGAGAAATGGCATGCAGACGTTTGAGGGAGTCCTGGGTGCAGTGAAAGCGCACTCTCTTTACCAAGGCTTCGGCTCCGACCTCGGCCAAGCGCTTGTTGACCAGTCGCACACTGGCAACACTCTGAAAGTCCAACCAAGCACAGATTTTGATGAGCACCTCATCAGGGCAGCCGTCCATGTTGATGTAGTGTAATGGGCGGGATGTCACACAAGAGAATCGCAGGAGGAGGAGTGCGTGATTTTGAGGATAGGTGAGGGGCAGTTGGGCACCGGCCCTAGGCGGTCGCAGGCGCGAAGTACTGTAGCTGCGCAGAAGTGGGTTTGAGCTGAGTCGACAAGCAGCTATCGAGCTGGCAGACTGTCTGGCCAGCACGAAGAGAACGAGTGTGTTGTGATTCAAGCCATCCAAAGATGATCAAGTGACTGAGGAGGAAGGGAAGGATCGATGGAGATGCAAGATTGGAAGGGAAAGTGAGCAACGAAAAGTGACGTTTGGCCGGGGGTGGTTGTTATCGGGGAAAAAATAATTATTAAAGGGGAGAGGCAGAGAGAGGGTTGATGGGAAACAAAAAAGAAGCCCGGGGGTCCGAACTTTCCCAGGGGGTGGAGGGACAAAGCAGTGAAGAAAGACAGCTGGGTGACCGCCGTGCTCTGCAGAAATGGGGAGATGGTGCCTGTCTTGGTGCCTATCAGTCACCGCTAGGCTTGCCCATGGCCCAAAGTGCGGGACAAGGAGCACGAGGAAATGGAGACCCGGGCTAGTGCCACGGCCCATGACCCTTCGCATCGTGACACCCTCACGACTCACAACTCACGAGAAGCTTTCACGCGACCCGCGTAAAGTGATTGCTCGCAGCCTAGTCTCTGTTGGCTCTAGTCTACCATGGCTTCCCCCAGCCAACCCATTTCGAGGGCCCCTAACCGCGCAGTTGGTGCATCTCAACTCGTTGCCGCGCTGAGCACTGTCCAACCCACCATTAACCATTACCACCACCAACACCACGTCGCTACCTCAGCCTGCGCCTGACAACTTCCTTCAGACCACCAGCAGTGGACTTTGTTCACCGTGCAACCTGGCTCTTCACTTCTCGCTTACCGTCGCCTCACCTGTCATCGCTCCTCTACTCATCTCCCGCCTCAGTGACACCTCCATGGTCAGCTAATAAAGGATTCTCTCCGGCTCAGGGCTTATGCTCTGAGCCTGTTCGCATACCCCACGAAGCGCCCTGTCAGGCCTAACACACGGTCTTCTGAACCGCCAAAATCCCATTGCGTCTTCAAGATCAATTCAAAATGGAAGCAACTGTGGAGATCGAGGAAGTGCCCACTAAGTCAATGGCCAAGGGTGCAGAGACTCTTTTGGCGAAGCACCTTCATGGAAAGAAACAAGAGTGGGATGCCATTACGGCGCAGAAAGAACCGTTGCGCCTGCTCGATTTGCCCGTCGATATCCTACAAGCTATTCTTCGAGAGCTGACGCACACTAACGACCTGACGTCCCTCGCTTTGACCCATTCCGCTCTGCATGCGTTGGTCATCCCTCATATCTATGCCCGCTTCGATATTGTCTGGCCGGATGCAAATGCCACATTCGAGAACCGCATGGGCGTGGATGCTCTTACCTACGGGTTGGCAACTCTAGTCATGGCTCAGGACGTTTTTGGAGAGGCCCCGTATCAACAGCAAACTCAACATCAATGTCAGAACTGCGGTCACCAAAATCAGGTCGCGCAGACAACCATGGACAAGCCAAAAAAGATTCGGCGTGGCAATCACTTTGCTCAGTACACTCGAAAATTCAGTCTGGGGAATGGGCCTGCCGAGTGGGTTCAGGAATACCTCATCACGAAAGAGGGGGGGAAGATGTTGGGGACTTTGGTCGCACTAGCAGTCGGCAGGATGCGAAATCTCGAGGCTTTCATCTGGGACATGCCCACAGGTGTTCTTCGAGATGTCTGGATGGCTCTGGCTTCCCTCGGCAACCGCGACGATGGACAAGAATGTCGTCTCGAACGAGTTTGGGTTCGCTGGCATGACAATCAAGACCAGGGGCCTTTGGCTTCTCCTCCGCCACCAGGATCGATACCAGGGCCGCAGGCTTCTAACTTGCCCTCCATTCTGGCGGGATCGGCCAACTCTCTTTTTCAGATTCCTCCATATCCTCGAGTTGAGTTCCCAACATTTTCGATTCTGCCGCCTCTCAGGAGCCTCAGTGTTCTCGACATTGACGAACTACCCTATGCAGAGGAGATGAGCGTTCTCATCGAGAGGTCATTGGGCAGACTCCAAGAGCTCCGCGTAGGCATAGCTTCGCACGCCCAATTCGACCAATGGGCGAGGCCCTCAGAAGATCGAACTTCTATTCTGCCTCCTATGCCTGGCATGGCTGACCAGACTCCGCGGCCAGGAGGCATCCTCGGAATCCTAGTGCATCGATTTTGTGACGCCTTCTCTCACTATGCACAGAATCAATCGCCCTCGGCCCTGGACTCGCAACAGGATCCAGCCCAAAATGCTGTGGTTGTGGATACGTCTCGAGAACAAGAGAGAGAGGAAGATTCCGAAGGCCTCGTCAGTACTTCGGAGATGAACCAGTTGGGTGCCCTGCTGTCCGCTCATGGTATCCAGGATGACCACTCCGATATGGTTTCTGCATCAGCGACGAAGCAACGATCGTTAGAAGAGCCCGATCCCGTTCCGGACTCCAACCAGATACACAGCGCCACCGACGCATTTCAAGACTCTCAGAAGGAAGGTCGGCCGGCGCGAAAATTGCAGCTGGAAACGCTCGAACTGGAACGGGTCTGCTTGTCAATAGCGGTGCTCTCAAAAGCAGTCGACTGGTCACGACTGACTACCTTGACTCTTCTAGGTTGTCGAAACCACGATCAACTATGGAAAGCGCTTCGAAAACGCTTTACTCCAACAAGCCGGAGGAGAGTGTCAGCAACTCCTTTCCGGATTTCAGCAAATGGGATGTCGAGCATTTTGCTTCGGTCACAGACGAGCACGCCCTCAGCTCCTGCACTCGCGTCGTCCGATTATCCCCTGAAATTGAGGCGATTACACACTGACATGGTGTCCCCATCGTTGATTGCGTTCATCAAAGACACTCTTGCACCGGACAGCCTTGAATGGCTTTTCCTTCAAGAGAACACGACTTACAAGTCGCCGGTGTCTATCGACATGATTTATAAAAACGCCATCAGACGGCATCGTTCTAGCCTAACCAAGCTTCTCATTGACAGCACACTCAGAACCGAAGATCCAGATCGCCCTAATACCAACTGGAGGAGATGGGTGTGCAACCGCGAGCTCATAACTTGCATCACCAGCGGCAAAATGAAATTGCGAGAGCTGAGCATGTCAATTGATTACAAGGACTGGCACTATTTCCTCAGGCGTCTGCCAAGCGCAACGACTCTGCGATCTTTGCACATCTCGCATATTGCCGAACACGTCAATGGCACGGTCCATTCTCGAGAAGCAGCATTGCAAGTTCTCGACATCGTTGCCCTGAGACCAGAGCTTGAATTGTGCTATCTCGGCATCCAGAGCCAGTGCTTTGAGATTTTGGAGTATGCGAGTACTCGAAAGGGGTCCAACTCAGGAGCGAGCAGTGGGGATCATTCTGGAGACGATGTTGGACCAGATGGTGACACGGCGGCAAATCCCAGTCAACCACAGACTCACCACGACCACGACTCTCACGACGAGGAAGCAGGTGACAATGGCGAAGGTGGAGGTCCGAATGACGACAGCGACTTTGACGCCATTTCAGACGATGGGAATGACACGACGGACGACGACGACGGGATGGGAGAGGGAGGAGAAGCCGGTGGTTCTGGGGGGCTGAAACCGACATGGAGGTTGAGAGAGATCCTATTCTATGATGACAAGATTTCGATCTTCAAGGCAAGGCATGGACGGTTATAATACGAATGCAAATGTAATCCAAAGAATGCAAGAGTCGGTTTGACAAACATGATAGCGGGCGTGGGTTAAAAGGCCAGGAGCTCTGTGAATGGAAGGGGAAAATTGGAACAGGTGGAACTACGACGGAACAGCTTTGATAGGAATTGCTACTTGGATGTCGCCACACGACACATGGCGACGATAGCATGATACACAATCCAGAGTCAGACCTCAAGCCAGTATTTCCGATCCATTGCGATGCACCACAATGTCACATATGGCATGAAGTATAATCAAAAGGAGTATGGGGATTTGGGCTTCCATTGTGTAGGTGATAGTAACGACAACAATACCTTGATATTACCCAGTTACGAGGCAGCAGGGAGCCTTAAGCTTGTGTGAGAGACAAACGACAGCCTCGTCAATAGCCACGCGGCGAACCATTGCGGAGTTACAGGCCGAGCCATACTATAGCGCAACTGGGGGAGGAAATAGGGAAGGAATTATGGATGTATGGATGCGATGCGCTGGTGGAGGAGGGACAAGGCTATATATACAGGGCGAGGGGAAGGTGGAAGGGGGTGGGAGAAGGGGTGGATGGAGAACGCGGGATATCTATCTCATGCATCTAATGTATCTGTCTACCTCGTTACTCCGTTTCTACTCCGTACGCAGGAAGTCACCTACGCCTCGCTACCTACCTACAGTGACGTTGAATACGTACATGAACTCTACCTTGCACGTCAAAGTATCTATATATCCCGTATACACACGTGTACCAGCACCTTCGCAATGGACCGGATTCGATAGAAGTGGTCCGAGTCGTCTTTGGAAAGTGGTAGCTTTGAAGAACATATACACTACTAAGTATGTACTCCCTACAGTACCTCCCAATTGTGGGCATTAGACTCCCATACACGGGACAATGTACGTACTTGTAGATAGATAGATATACACTGCATAAATACTCCGTGTCCTATTATACAATAGCACTATCTCTCGAGTATTTTACTCCGAACCCACGGGCCAAGGTCGTCTACACAAACCTAGTCGGGACTCCGTCCATACACGGTGGTTCCCAAGGCACCCTCGCACGGGGGGTTCGGGGGAAGCCTTTGTTGGCGGACAGTCACCGTGCCGGTCTGCGATAGCGACATCGATACCAACCGAAACCCAAAGACCTACCTGACTTGCTGGTAGGTCCATGGGTTCCAGGAGACGCAAAGGGTCGGATTTTCGCGTACAAATGGGGGCAGGCGAAGACAGAGATGGAAGGACGTTGAGTCAGTCTGTCAGTCAGTCGTTGTGGCTTTTCACAGAGAGACATAGAGCAAACGTAATAAAAGGAAGCCCTTGGCAGTGCAAGGGGGAATGGGTCATGTGCATGTGCATGTGGCATGCTCAGGCATATGGAAAGGTTCAACGGCGAAGAAGCTCGGGTGATGGGCCATCGATATACCTCCGACCCTCCGCAACTCGTGGTCACTTCTTGGTAAGGCATATGTAACGGTGCATGCAGGTGCGGCAAGCAACGCACGCAGTTACTATTATCAGGTCACTAGTTAGCAAAGGCAGCGAAGGGGTCTGAGGCGGCAGTGGCTGGAGAGACTTTCTTCTTTTTCCTTTTCTTTTTCGTCTCCAGCCTTCCATGCATACATACCTACCTAGGTATGTACCACCCGGTGCCACCACCGCGGCCGCCGCCACCACCACTATCATCGACAAACTCGCCGGCGCGCCCTGGACGGAAGTGTTCTTCGTGAATTCAACTACCGAGTAGACAGCTGGCCACGCAAAGTCAGTCAGTCGGTCCACAATCGAGCTCCATTTTGCGCTGAAGAGCTCGGCATTCGGACGTAGAAACTAGACCTAAGGTTTTTGGGGGGAGTTAGGAGTTTGCCCGACAAGGCTGAGAACAATGGCCTCTTTGAGAAGCCCCCCCGGGGACCCAGAATCACAAGAAGAAGACGGATTAGTGATAATAATAACCACCCTGGCGGCCCCCAAAAGCCAGTTAGTTCCATGGAAAGAAGAATACGAGTTATCCCCCCTTACGCAGGTGCTGGGCCGCGTTGCCGTGCGTGTTCTTTACTTGTTCGAGGCATTCACCCCCTTACCTATCAACTAATTACTCGTACTCGGTACTCCTAGTCGTAGACAAGGGCACGGAGTCTCTGCACGGAGGACAGTATTACTGTGTATGCGCCCGCTGGATCCCCGTTGGGGATATGGAGACTTCCTTATCTCAGCTATCCCATCATCAATCACCATTACCTCGTACTGGTTGTCACTCCCACCGACTCCGTACCTGTGACTAAGTTTCAGCAAAGCATGGGGTCAAAAGTGTCTAGCTCGCATACACCCTCATACCTGGTACCGCCCGTTCACCTGCACCGCTTCCAGTCCGGCCAGCGGAGATGATCAATCTCGGTCATTTGTCGGGTGGCGTTGGTCATTGCGATATGTCCGCCTCGTACATAGTGGCGACAGCGAGCCTTTGAGACTCCCAGACCCCCCAAAATGCGAGTAATTTGGAATTCATTTTGTTTGCGAACGCGCGAGATATCTTCTGGACGTCGTTGGCGTGGATCCCCCCCTCGGTTGCCAATTTCCCGAGCGGCCGTGCTGGCCGACGCCCCCCCTGATCCTCGGCCTCGTCATTTCTCCCATGGTTCGTGGATCGCAGACGGAGCGAAAAAGCGGCAACCATGGAGACAGAAAAGAACAGACAGGGCCCGTTCCGCTTATGGCAGGTACTGAGAACAAGGAAGTGCAAACATACCCAATCAGACACATACTCCGTGCGGTGAGTATTCCTGTCCTCATATTCCAGTCTGTTCTGATCCATTTCCCGTGTCCCACTCAATGACTCGCGATGACATGGCGTGCCTCAAAATTGGCCTTTTGTATAGTCTGAGTTAGAGATTGAACTGGGGTTATTGGGAATAGACCTGACACGAGCGTTGGGGACAGCCTGGTTGCTAAAGCACTAGTGAGACGGCGAGCTGGCGAGCTGGCGAGCTTTTGATGAGCCTTCACCTCTTCATGACTTTGCTCCATAGCGCCTCCTCTGGCCATCTCCCTGTGCACCTCCTCCCTTCTTGTTCTACATTGTTGTGAGGTTAGGCTGCAGAGTAAGCCGGAACAAGATTCAAAGTTCTATACCCTACTGCGCAAAGCTCTCATATTCGTGTCAGGGGTCCGCTTATTTCATTGTACTGATGCGAAGATGAATTCCATGACCAAAGAATCAAAGATGCAGTCGACGAGGAGAAGCTTGGAAGAGTTAATCTATGTCGATAATCCGTCGTCCGTGATAGTAACCTCTATTCTCCATACTGCTGTACTACCCTCCCCAAGAATCGAGTTGCAAGATCCTGCGATGACTTTACAATGTGTGCCATGACCATCTCGATCCTTGGAGAGACTTGGAAGTCGCCAGGATACAAAAGTATCAAACCCATTGACTTTCAATAGATCGATTCAGGGGACTGTCGCCCTGAAGATTACCCTCCTTGCGAAGGGAAGTGCTCGATCCGACGCAAAAGCCCTCCTACCACTAGACTGCAACATTAACTCCTATCCCTCACACCAACTTTCGCCGTTGCCGCCCGCAACGAGGAGAGTCACCGTTTCAGACACAAACCCTGGACGCCATCCCCATGGATTTCTCATTCGTAATACATGACCATTGTAAAAACAAAAACCCCCTTTTCTGAACGACCGTGGTCCAAAGAAGGAGTTGTGAAGCTGGACCGTGAGATTTTGGCAGAAGTTGAGAAAATAGATCTTGATGTAACTTGCGTGGTGTTACGGCATCCTAGGGTATTCACAAGCATACCTGGCTGTTCTTGCATGTGGAGCAACCGCATAGTGTGCTCAGACGAGTATCGTACATGCCAGAAAAGGGAAATGGTTTTTCCTGATAATGATCGAAACTTCTCGAGCGTCAGATTTCTAGCCGTCTCAATAGTCGACTGTTCCACTGGAATTGTATGGGCCTGCAGTGGAGGCGAGGAGCCCATCCATTCCACGAATAGGAATCCATCCCATGGGACCTCGAAAGGGAAATCTTTCGGCCCCTGTGGGAACATACTTTGATCAGTGGCGCCAGTACAGCCGTACGTCGACGGACTTTGGCATCTCTCCAGGATTGTCCTCAGCTCTTCATTACAGCTTGATGGTCGCAAGAATCTCGATGGAAGTGACAATCTTCCTGCGGCGTGTCCGAAATCCCAAGCCCATTTCGAGGGAATACTAAGAATAGTGGTAGGATTGACGCGGCTCTGCCAGCAAGCATATCTCAAGAGGCTCAAAGCCCGCGGAGGTGCGCAGAGTTTCTAAGAGCCATTATCATGCTGCCGATGTCAGATGTCGAACGTACCTATGATGCGCTGACTGTCGCTTCACCGGGTTGAAATTCGAGCCCCAAAATCCACGTATAACCCTTCAAACGAAGCTGTCCGACGGCAGAGAAGTGGATTATGATAGCCAAAGGCTCCATCCTGCAAATTGTGGACGTCTCATTCATCGCTGCAGGCGAAACCACAGTATTAGTGCATGCTGTCTCCAAGAACACCAATCTGGAAATTCCTGCTTGATTGTGCTAGTAACAGGGGATGATCTGGGCCAGGAGTCTGGGCCGAGAGCTCCTCCTTGCTCGTATTGACCGTCCGGGCCTCTTTGCCGCTATTGTGGAATATTTCCACGCGACCAGGCTTGTGGAGCGCAGCTGGTAATGGCTTTGGGATCTAGGCTGGCTGAGCCATTCTCGTAAGCACTTCGCAATATTTAATGCGGATAATGGAGAACCGGACCAACGCAGGCATGCTGATCTGTCGAACATCCTCATTTCAACTCCCTCCACATTTTGCTCCAGCGTGGTTGTAATACAACTTGTAAAGTCGAGCTTTTAGCTACGCGCTCGGCGGATGATGCATCGAACGGTCCCGAGCCCGGTCGTCCTCATCCACTTCAACAAAAGGTCCTAAGCAACATTGACAGCGCTTGGGTATGGGGCG